TATATAAGGACAGCATTTCTTGGTGTATGGGGAGTAAAATATCACAAAATGAATTTAAAGGAGATGGCTAAAACAATAATGAGTTCATGCATATTACTCAGAGTAAGTTCTGTTTGTAATTTCAGTGCTTGCCTGATATCTACTTGCCTTTAATGCATAATGTAGGCATTAAAATTATGTTAGAGGCTAAGGAGATCACTCAGTAAAGTGTTTGTCATCAAGTACAAGAACCTGTGTTTGATCCTTAGCACACATGTAAAAAGCCAGGTGTTGGACCCAGCCAGATGATTCAGTGGGTAAAGGTACCTGCCTTCAAGCCTGACAACCTGAGACTGATCCCTGGAACCCACATGGTGAAGGAGAAAATTAACAACCCGGTTGTCTTCCAACCTCCACATTGTACTCCATGGAACAAACATGACCACACAAGTACATACAAATGAAAAAATGTATAATTTAAAACACTAAAAAAGAAAAAGCCAAGAATTGGTATGTGCCTATAATTCCTGTGTTGGCAAGGTAGTGCAAGATTGATGCCTGGGGCTTGTTAGCTAGCCAGCTTAACCTAATGCACAAGCCTCAAGTCCTAAACATGATGAGGCCAGGTATGATAGTGCATACCTTTAATGGCAGCAATTAAGAGACAAAGGCAGGCAGTCTTTGATTTTAAGGCTAGCTTGGTCTACAGAGGGAGTTCTAGCCAGGGATACACAGTGAGACTTGTCTCAAAACAAACAAAACAGAGCAAAAACAAAGCAAGGTGGTAACTTCTGAGAAATGATAGCCAAATTGATCTCTAATCTCCACATGCACACATTGCAGTGCACCCAAACCCTCAGAGCATGTGTGCACACATGCGCACACACACATACAAAACAAGCAAAATAAATTTTACCAACACATATACATGTATGTACACACTTGGGACACTGGTTTTAAGGATATTATGTTACCGCTCTACATTTCTCAAATATATTTTTTAACCTTCAGTTGGTTATGGGAAATATCGGGTATGTCCATTGCCCCTCAAAACAATAAGCTTTTAACCTGATATCCAAGTTACAGTCTTGCTTGAGGAAGTAACATTCCTAAATGTTAGCCAGTGTCCTTCTTACATACCAGTATCTTCATGACCAGTTTTGGGGAATCTGAAACGCAGATTTCAAAGCTCATCTTCTATCAGTAAGTCTTCACACTTCCAGCTAGGCTTTAACTAAAGCCGACTTTGAAAAAGGTGTGAAAGTATAAGGTAATGATGTGGGTCCTTTAGAAAGGCTCAATATAGATCCCGCCTCTGTATAAAGCTATATGCTGAGCCTATTCACGTTTATTTTAGCACAGTTAAGATTCATCTATTAGGTTACCCTTTCAAGACACAAACTTTCAAGCACTCCCCTTTAAAATCAAAGATTAGGGCTAGAGACAGGACTCAGCTGGTGGAGTGCATGCCTAATAGGTACAAGCCCTTGGGTATGAATCTCAGCACCAAGTAAAAGTGTGTGTGGTGGCCTGTACCTCTAACCCTAGCACTGCAGAGGCAGAGGCAGGAATATAATCCTCAGCTACACAGCGGATTCGAGGCCAGCCAGAGCTACATAAGACTGTGTTTCAAAAAGACGAAGTACGTCCACTTTATACTTTCTGTTGATCATGATCATTAGGGACCATCAGGCAATTCTGAAAGCCAGAATCATTCTTCACGGATGAAGAATTCTTCATCTAGGATGCTCTTCACTAAGTGTAGTGAGGCAATGTCCTAGAAGGAGCAAAGGGGGTTCTTCTTGCTGAGACATTCAACCAAAAGAGTTGACGGAAAAAGAGACTCTGAGTATCTTTATCTGTACTTACACCAAGGCTTTAGGGTAGGCTAAATAGTATTTTTATAACATTCAAATGTGCTTCTGGGATGCAATTAATTAAATCTTGAACTTTGAGACTTGTCTAGTTATGAAGACCAACATTCTTTTCTTTTTTTGGTTTTTCGAGACAATGGTCACGCACGCCTTTAATCCCAGCATTCAGGAAGCAGAGGCAGGTGGATCTCTGTAAGTTCGAGGCCAGTCTGGTCTACAAGAGCTAGTTCCAGGACAGGCTACACAGAGAATCCCTGCCTCTAAAAGAGCAAAAACAAAAAACAAAAGCAAAACAAAACAAACAAAAACAACAACAAAAGAACCAAAAAACCAACCAAACAAACAAACAAAAAAACCCACATAAACTGCAAACCTCTTTTGCTTAATATTTTTTTAATTGTTGGTACTCAGTAAACATTTACTGAATGAAAAACCAAGCAAATACATTAATTTTACTTGAAAATAATAGAGTCCCAAGCAGACACACACATGCACACACACAGACCCCATATAATTTACCATCTCTAAATGAAATAATTACAGCACATCTTACTGATTTTAGAGGAATACATTCCAAGACCCCAGTAAAAATCTAAAATCACAGGTATATGTATTCTATGGTTATTTTTAGATAAAGTTTTATATATAAATTAGACACAACAGGAATAACAATAACTAATATACTGTACTGTTATAATAATTAAAACGTGTTTTTTATGAATGATTATTCATTTCTGAAATTTTCCATTTAATATTTTAAAACTATATTTGACTAGCAGTCACTGAAATTCTGGAAAGCAAAACTGCAGATAACTGAGAACTCTTCTATATGCATCTAGCAGATAACAAACCTTCTCCTTCCAAACCAGTCAGGATGAGTATTCTAACGTGTGTACTTCAGAGAAGATTTAATACAAGCAACCATTGCAGTAAATCTCAAACCAATGACAAAATCCAAAGACCTCCTAACAATCCCAACTATAAATACTTGGCATGGACCCTGAGTTCAGACCATAGAACATTAATGTAAGAGACATGAAATAAAGTATTAAAGTGCTTGCTCATTTAGAATCTCAGTTATGTGACTCAGTCTGTGATTGTTCAGCAACTGTCAAATTGGACTTGAATAGTTTCACTTAAGAGTACATAAAAAGGAAAGACAGCACTGTTGGTTAGACATGTTAAGATTTCCTATTCAAATTCTACATGGCTAATTTTCCCAAAGGAATGTAAAGTAGTGCTAACTATTAATTATGGCATAAAGTGTTCAAGGTGAGAAACAGATCAGTAACTTGTGCATGTCTTTTCAACAGTCTACACTTCTTCTAACTAATGGATTTCTTTTAGCATTTCCCCCTAACTTTATGCTGCATGAAGTTATCACAAGGGGCACATCAGCTCTCTTTAATAATTCCAAGCACAGCTTGGGTATCTCCTAATTTACAATTAATCTGTTTGATATATCAATCACGACGGTGCAGCAAACTATAAAAACTGTTGCACATTCTTGAGCAAAACTCACATTCATTCCAGAAAATTATTATTGATAAAAAGGTAAGAAAGAGTAAAGTACAATGTAATTTTCTCATTCATCTTTAATCAGTGACTAAATTTTACATTCTGTAAATACCCTCTTATCATGCAAAATAAATATTTTCAGGGGTCATATAATCATCTATATCATATGCCAAAACTTTACCAAACATTTCCTGGTATCATACATGCAAAAAGCTGCACTGTATTAAAGTCTCATAACCAAGTACCCAAAGAACTCCTTAAATTATCTTTAACATTCTAAGTAGATAATAAATTGCTGGGTTTTTTTTTCTTAGCAACTATTGCCAACACGCCAACAGTCCTGGCCAATTTTAAGTTAGCAGAAGCTGAACTCTATCTTTAAGGAGGTGGAAGAATTGTAGAAAAGTGGCCCTCCCCACATTACTCCTCAGTACAGTTAATCTGATCAGCTTTAGGAAAAACTGAGTTACCATGCAAGTAAGGACAACGCAAATGAGATTTAGCTATAAAATCTTTCCAGAAGTGTTCGAAAAGAAACAATTCTATCAAAGCGTCAGCCCTATACCTTAAATACACAGGTCATTTCAAAAAGACACATTACCCTGTCCTCTCCCTGAATCTCCTAAGACCCACATCAGTACATTTTCAGCACGCTACAGATGGGAGTCCATTCCAAGAAAAGGCAATCTCCTTGCTCACTATAAATTTTCATAATTCATCATAAAGAGCTCACACATGTTAAGGTAGTTCATCCCAAGCCGGAGTCTTATCGATTCCTTCCCGAGCCTTGCTCCTAATCCTCGCCCAAAGCCTCTTGGCTGAGTTAAATCCCACACCACTCCAGCAAAGTCAATTCCAAGAGCACATGTGCCAAGGGTATTTAGTGGTTTTCCTTACACTCCCAGTTTAAACGGGCACCTACTTGCAATTAAATCTCTGCAACAATAAAGTTCTTACCATTTTAATAGAGGCCTGGTTTATACTACCTGTCGTGGCCTTGCCTCAACTATTACATACTTCCAAAGACGTTGGAAGGGCCCCAAACAGCAGGAAACCAAACCTGCTGCCAGCTCGGCTGTCACCCCACAAAGAATACGAAACATGTATGCTTGAAGGGGTAAAGTGTGAGTGTGTGCGAGCGTTTGTGTGTGTGTGTGTGTGTGTGTGTGTGTGTGTGCGCGCGCGTGCGCGCGCCTACTACGTGTGCTGGGGAGGGTCGCGCTGATTAAAGTGTTTGAACAATTTCAACTTGTGACGGAAGTTTCTTGAACCAGGAGGGAAAAAAAACCCAACAAATCAACACCGTCTCCTTCCACCTTCAGCAAGCGCGGGAACCTCCCACCGTCCCCGCGCGTACCTTCGGGGTCAGCAAGGCTTCGGAAGGCAGAACAGGTTTCTACAACCCCACGCCCTCGCGTGGGGGGAGCCGGGGGCCACCGGGGAGAATCGTGGCCCACGGGACCCCAAGACCCGACCTCGCTCGCACAGCTGTACACCGACCCCTCGCCCCCACGTCTGCGCCCCTCGGCTCGCGCAGGGCTCGCCTTCCCGCCCCAGACACGGCAGCAAGAAGTCCCCTCGCGTGGCAAGCGCGGCGGGACCTCCGAACCCCAGCTCCAGCAGGATTACCTCGCAGCGCAGCCGGCTTTGTGCCCCCTCCGGGCTGCAGCGTCCGCCGGGTCAGCCGCAGCCTCCTCCTAAGCGTCGCTCAGCTCCCGAGGACAGGGCCGGGAAGGGAGGGGGCGTGGAGAGGGACCTGGACGCCGAGCCCCCGGACGCAGTAAGCGGCGACACCTGGTCGCTGGCGCGTCTACTTCTCAGTGTTTCAAAACAGATCATTTAAACCCTTTCCTCTCCCTCCCGCCCCTCACCCGGGCGACCGTTACCGGCAGGCGCCTCACGCTCTGGCGGGACTAGCCGAACTACCCCCGAACGTCCTCGGCCCCGCCCCCCTGGGCCCCGCCTCCACAGGGCCTGTGACTCCGCCCCCTAGAGGCTCGGCCCTCTAAGACCCTTAGTGCCCCAAAGGCCCCGCCCCACAGGTTCGAGCACCTAGGCCCTGCCTGCCGTAGGCCACGCCCAAGCCCCCTTGATTCCGCCCCCCACAGTTTTGACCCTCCTAGCGTGCCACTTCCACGCCCCGCCCCACAGGGGGGTCCGAAAGCCCTAGCCCCGCCTCTTACAGGCCACGCCCCAGGCCCCTTCACTCCGCCCCGTGCGGGCTCGGCCCTCGAAGCTCACGAGCGTGCCCCTGGCTCCGCCCTTCTTTCCCCCAGCTCCGCCCCCGAGCGTCCAGGCGCCGCTTCCAGGAGGCCACGCCCACAACAAGCTCTCGCGCTCCCAGGCCACGCCCCCGTGCCCCTTGCGATCCCTGGCCCCGCCCCTCGAGGCCCCCTTAGGGCTACAAGCTCAGTGCGGTGGGGGGGCCTATGCGCTCTGCAGGCCGAGGGCCTGCAGCGGGGCGGCTGCCTGGCGCCTCTGTAAGGTCTTCCTGCCTTGGTGCAGCTCCGATCCGCTGCCGGAGAGGGAAACGACCCCGACAGAAACCCGATTGAAAGCGGGAGGGTTACGCCTCGGAAACATCTGCCTACCCCAGTCCGAACATGCTTCCCCCACCCAATGAGCCTGAGCCTCGGCTTTCAGATTGAGCCTCTGACGCCCACAGAGGCTGCTGGGCTTGGCCGGGGCGGCACTACATGGTTGGACCTCTGCATGTCCCCAGCAGAAGGGGCCTTGATTTTCTCCTCAGCACACTGGCGTCTGGGGGAGTCTCCTGCCTCCACTCAGTTCCACAGAGGGACAGGGCAAGGGCGCTTAATTCATCTGAAGCAGCCCAAAGTCTGCACTCCTCCTTTGGACTCTTGCCTCTTAAACCTTCTGAGAGCTGACCTCTTGGGATATGAAAAGTCTAGGCTCGGCCATCAGCCTTCAAAATTAGTCTGAGGCCAGGCAAACTTTGCAACACTCCTTTGCCGAGCTGGGGATCCCTCCACAGGTGACACTGGGCTGCCACCCCCGCCTCCCAGACATGTTTCTCACTCTAACCTATTCTCGAAATAGCCCTCCAGGCACACACTCTCCTCCGCCACCCACGACTTGCACACTCCTCCTGCACACATGCCCTCCACTGCACGAATTCAGCCTCAAGCACACTCCTCCCAGCGCCATTCTAATGATTCCTGGTCCCTAGGGTTAACCCCACCCCAACACACAGCAAACTTCATTCTCCACCCTTATCTCCCGTCCTTTTCAAGGCACTGGCGAAAGGCCACTTGATTTCCTTCCTCATCTGCAGACTCTCTTCCCCCTCAAATACTTCACGTCAGCCCCCTCATCTTCATCCCCTCTTCCTCTAAAAATGTGCTAATTAAAATGTAGTTTCCTCTGCCCACATATGAAGTGTGGCAAACGAATCCCATTCTTGGCACACACTGCAGTTCATTTATCCTCCTTTTCTCTCGCCACTGGACTAAAGCTATAGAAATTTTAGTCAGCCAGTATCACCCATTTTCTTTCCAAAAAGAAAAAAGAAAAAGAAAGAAAGAAAGAAAAATCCCTTATCATGCCTTATTAATTTTAAGTACTCCTCAACAATCGTGGGGAAGTCTTGCTAAGGCTCAAGGAGAAAACGATATTTAGGAAACGCTCAGCCCGTCATTTTATTTGCCATTTAAAAATATCTGCAGTGTTTGAGAGAGATTGGGAGTGGCTGGGTTTTCTTCATTTAAAAAGAAAAAAATGCTTTGCATGTATCAAGGTTAGCCTTTTTATACATAGCCAAAAAAAAAGTACTGTAGGAGCATATATCATGTAATAGTCTCCACCACACAGGACGTGTGCCAGACAGAGCTGTAGACCCCAGCCCACCTCCAAAGGACGACAGATCCACAGAACGTTTTAAGCATGGCTGATGAAGAGCGCGTTCCACGACCATTCCCTTTTCCCACGGCTCCTGAACAAAACGGCTAAGAGATGTGCTTACCTGCAGACGATCCACAGCCCCTTTGCGTGCAGGCGAGCCGACGTGTGTCTGTCTTCCCTGGCTAGGTGTGGATTCTGCAGTGCTGCACGGGATCCCACTGCAGCCGCGGAGCAGTGGCGGCGGCTGCTTCTCCCAATGCTGAGTAGTAAAGTGTGTGACTTAGAGACTCCACGGTTGCCGTGAGGCGCTTGCTTAGAAGAGAGGAGGCGGAATCTTTCTTAAAGGAATGGGTTTGGTTTTTCCTCTCCACTGTTGCTTCATCAGATGCAAAAAAAAAAAAAAAAAGGGTGGAATCAGGGGAGTTTCTCTCTCTCTTCAGTGCAAAGCGATGCAGCTGTGGGAGGTCAAGGTTAAAATTAACCGAGAGAAGGGAGGACGAGAGTGAGTCAATGGGAACTGCTAGAAGCACTAATTTTAAAGAGCCCTCTCGCCTCCAGTATTGGGGTTAATTGCCAAAATAAAGTTGTGTGCCTTGAAATGGGTCAACTTCTTGTGCTAATATTTAATTTCCAACCACTGTACTAAACAACCAGAGAGAGGCTATTTAGTATTTACAACAAGCAAGGAAAGAATAATGTAAACTTCATGTGAGGGCTGACACCTATAGATATACCTGAAATGTCTAACATACGCGCTTGCGAGTGCGCAGCACACACACACACACACACACACACACACACCTTGAGGGGGTACTCTTTTGTTGTTGTTGGTTTTGGAGAAAGGTCTTACCAGGCAGCCTTGACTGGCCTGGAACTAGCTATGTAGCCCAGGCTACCAGGCTAGCTCAAACTCACAGAGATCTGCCTGCCTCTGCCTACCAACTTCTGTGATTACAGGTATACACCACTGCACCCAGTCCTAATATATTGTTTGGTACTGGCATTTGGTACCAGAAAATATATTATTGCCAGATTTCAACGTATACTTTCATGTTATAAAATCACAATATTATATACAAAATAAAATATATCTAAAATATTTTTAGAAAATATTCTCAGGGTATACTATGTTATTGAGTGAAAATTCACAAGTTAGCAGCATTAAGAAACTCAAGTGGTTTTGTTTAAGTGCTTGTAAATCTGCTATTTATATAATTAAAATGTGCCCTGACTGTCAGGAGTCTGTATTATAGCCTCAAATTTTGTTTTTAATATTTCTTCATTTAAGCACTGAACATTTATTAACCTTTTCATCATACTGAATATGAAGGTGTGATCTCCAAATAAGAACAGATAAAAAATTCCAGAAAACATTCTGCCATTGATTTTTCTTTCCACAGTTTTTGGTAATAACCTGTATAGTACTGAACAAGTACGAAACTAAAAATTATCATTTGGCTGTTAGGTCTCCATTTTGTAAAATGTGAAAATCTGGGGGGTTGAAATTTCTACTGAAAGAATGCTCAGCAGGGTGGTGGCGGCGGCGGCGGCACACGCCTATAACCCAGCACTAGACAGGCAGAGGCAGGTGGACCTCTGTGAGTTCAAGGCCAGTCTGGTCTACAGGTGGAGTTTCAGCACTGCCAGGGTGGTTACACAGCGAACTCACGTCTTGAAAATCCAAAAAACAAACAAACAAACAAAAATGCTAAAGAGCCATTCCCAACTCCAAATTTGGGGACTTTGTGGCATTCCAGTATTTTTGTTGTTTAATGCAACTGAGTCCCACTTGAAATTATTTTTCCTTAAAGTGTGCATTGAAATAAAGCTCAGGAGCTGGGACTATGATTCAAGGTAGAGTGCTGGCCTACTATGCACAAATCCAGGGCTGGAAGGGTGGGTAGTAAATTTTTGTTTTCAGTGTAACCCAGGTTTATTCGCTATCCCCAAATTATTTTTCAAGTCAACTAACCATTTTGTAAAGTGAATAAAATTCGCCTGAATTAGGATTGTAGGCCTGCCTATGACCAGTCTTCCTGTACCAGAGCCCTTATTTTACAGATCTCCGTTGGCGGGCACTATCACACATATTAATGTCTGCTTGTTCTTTGCGTTTCTGTGTGATCTGGATCATTATCAATAGTGTCTTTCCCGTGCTGGGCACTGAATCTAGAACCTTCTGTGCGCTAGGTGAGCATTCTCCCACGGAAAGCAGTACTCAGAGTAATAATCCTCCTGCCTCTTTGTATGGAGGGGCTGGGCTTACCCTGCTGACATCTGCTAAACGTACCTGACGTTTATGTAAAAGCTGGAGCATGGTCTGGTGAGTTGGAACCGATGTTAGGCTCACCTGTCGTTTTCAGACGTGGGAAACGTGGAAATCCGGAGAAGCTAAATTGGGACGGAGTTAGGGACAGAGCTGGGATTGAGGCTGAGCCCTGCCCTTCACACACAAGCAAGGTGAATGAATGATATCCATGAAAATGCCGTTCCATTCCTTCACTCTGGGGACTTATCAAGACTTGTCAACAAAAACAAAGTGGTACCGGGCGGTGGTGGCGCACGCCTTTAATCCCACCACTCAGGAGGCAGAGGCAGGCGGATCTCTGTGAGTTTGAGACCAGCCTGGTCTACAAGAGCTAGTTCTAGGACAGGAACCAAAAGCTACAGAGAAACCCTGTCCTGAAAATCCAAAAAAAAAAAAAAAAAAAAAAACCCCAAAGTGGTTACATGCAAGGACACTGTGTATACCTAGGACACCCTAAAGACATGTATTAGCTAGTACTTACAGTATCAACACAAATTTTCCTTCAGGTTTGGACACATTTGTGCCAGAAAGTAAAGACATTTGTCAAGAAGAATGTATGTGTATAGAGTCAGCAAGGGGGAAACTCACAACCTTCCATTAGCAAACTCTTGTTTATCTTTTCAAAAATGTACTTATTTAGCTGGGCAGTGGCAACGCACACTTTTAATCCCAGAACTCAGGAGGCAGAGGCAGGTGGATCTCTGTGAGTTTGAGGCCGGCCTGGACTACAAGAGCTAGTTTCAGGATAGATAGGA